AGGTGGTGTTAGACTTGGAACTGGTCATGCGCTCAAACTTTGAGCGCAGGTAGCCAAACATCGCGGCAATAGGTTCTCGGTGCTGGACTTCTGCACGCACTGCAAAGCGAATGTCTTTATTCATTCACAACAATCGTTAGTATACCCGCGCCTGCAACTGAAACCAGATCAGACAGGGCCTACAGTTGCTCAGATTCTCCGCGCCAAAGCCCACCCCGTCGTCCTCGGGACTGTGGCGGGGTGTGCGCCCTGAACTCGGGGCCGGAGGCGGACTTGGGGATCGTCCGTGGAGGGGGGTATCTGCACCCGCCGGTAGAGGCACATTAGCCGCGACAGAGACGTCGCCCGGCGTGGCACGATCGACCTGTCTACTCTTCGTGGGGCCCTCGAGCGCATCCTCATACTGTGGACTTGGCTCGCGCGACTGGGACGGGGAGATGCTAAGCCCAATTGTGGGCTTGAGCTGCAAGCGATCCGCATTGGGGTTATCCTTGCGCAAGTAGGGCTGGTGGCGGTACCATCCACTGCCCTGGACGTATTCGGGTTGATGGAAGCCTGGGGGTGACCATCGCTCCTGAGCGGGATCCTCGATCTCTCCATCTTCCCCGTCTGAATCTTCAGACCGGAATCCGGAGTGTTGGGATGGCAGGGCGAACATTGGGGACCTGTGGGGATTGGTGTTGTTCTCGAAGTCTTCGAGCGACGCGTCCAGGGATGGATGGTCGTCGAAGACGTTGTCTAACTCGTCCAGCATCCCGGACGGTGTATCGCGATAGTCGCGCCTCGGAAGAAGAGGCACTGCAGTTCTCAGCGACAAAGCGCAGATCAATGCCTATGAGTGGCGGTCACTTGCGGTTGAACCACTTTGAGTACCTTGAGTAAACTAGAGTGATTAGTAAACGCGCTGGGACGGTGTCTCCTGCGCTAGCCGTTACAGAAGATATCTGAGCAATCAACCCCGCGCCAAAGATGCGATAAGGTATGATGCGATGCGATGCGACAAGGCAGGTACTGGATTCTAGATAGCGACACAGGATAACTCCGAGATAGGCACATTCGATAGTTGATGTTGGACAAGATGCGATCAGGAAACTCTCTCGAGATTAATATGGAACTGGGATCGAAACGCCTCGTCAAGCAATGGAGGAGTCAGGAATGAGAAGACGAGAAAGCATACGTCCCCTCACTTGTATCCAAGTCGAGGAGGTTGGGCCAATCAGCCTAACCCCTGCTGGTCATGTGCTGAGACTCGAGGCCAACACGGCGTGTACAAAGTACACATCAGATACCGAAATGGTACAGGTGATGGTACTGGAGAAGTACTTCAAGTTTGTGTTGTCCCTACAGTTAGTGACGAGGTACTATTCAGGTACATTCCAAGTATCACCGTGCCTGACCGCCCATGTTTGCCCAATCGATACAGCCAGGGTCACCAACCAATCATAAGCCAGACCTCCATGATCATCCGAAGGATCTCAAACACTTCCAAGGTTAAGAATAGACTTGCATAACACCCGTTTGCAGTGTGTTTGTTCTATCAAAGGAATATCAAAAGAATATCAAAATGAAGAGGAGAAGATCAAATCTATTTTGGGTCATGGAAATTGTAATAAAAATACAGGCCCGGTCCGTTGGGAGACCCGGTAATCAGCCCATGGCGCCATAATCCCAGACTTCTATGGGGAGAAACAGAAAAAAAGCCGGGGAATAAAAAAGAACATCAGGTCGTTTATGCGGTGTTATCCTTGAGCCAGCTATGGGGTTGTCAGTTGGGTGTGTCAGGGGGTATGGGTTCGCGGGTAACGTACGTGATGAGATCGTTGCGCTCCTTGGTCTTCTTGAGACCACCGAAGGCCATCTTGGTACCGGGGATGAACTTCTTGGGGTTCTCGAGGTAGGAGAACTATGGAGACATCGTTAGCGGGTGATCGGAGCTGAGTTGAAGGTGGCAGTTGGCACTTACCAGAGTGTTCTCGTTCCACTCAACACCGGCCTGCTTGTTGGCGTCGGTGTAGGCGTAGCCCTCGGAGGAACCAGTCTTGCGGCCGAAGAGACCGTGCAGGTTGGGGCCGACCTTGTGGGCACCGCCAGACTCGGTGGTGTGGCACTGGGCGCAACGGGTCTGAAAAACGAGCTGTTAGGTTTTCTGTTTCCTTTGTCTGCGCGTGAAGCTATAATGAACTCACCTGGAAGAGCTTGGCACCCTTGGCGGCATCACCTGGAGAGAAGCGGAGGTTAGCGATCCTGTCGGCTTCTTTTTTGGCTTCTTCAATGAGGCCTCCCTCTGCACGCTCGGCCTCGCGCATGTCGATGGTTGTCAAGGTGCAGAACACATCGAACGTAGTCATGTTGAATAACTGATGCGTGGTTTTTTGGAAAATGTTGCGGTGATCGCAATTGAGAGGTAGTTAGGTTGACGAGGAGTCGCAATGCGAGGCAAGGCGAGGAAGTGTTGCCAATTGCCGTCCCAAGTAGGTAACAAACAGTGTTGCCATTTTAGGAGTTGATATAGCCTCACTTCCTTCAACCTCCATGGCGCCTCCCCGTTCAACCTCCTTTCAGCTCAATGGGAAGGTAGGTAGCTTACCAGGGGCGAAAGATTCTTGCTTCTTAGGAGGCATTGTGAAGTATTATGAAAGAATAAAAAAAGAGGTTATTATGACACTGTACTGTACAGGAAAAACTGGAAAGGGAGAAAAGAAAATCTGGTTATTTGTACTTGGCCCCGACGCTCTCTCTCGTAATCTGCCGCTCCGCCAATCAGAAGTCAGATGATTCAGGTGGACGGGCGCAACCGGAATCTTCGGTGTGGCTGTTGTATGCTTTGACTCTTACACTCCTTGTTGCTGCTTTCTTGCTTGGTCCTACAGGTTCAATCTTGGAACAGCTACAACTGGCAAGCTTGTGGCAAAGAACCAACGTGTACCCTCTATCTCCCATATCACGCCCCATGATCTCATAACTCATCATCACCTGGCTCAGAACATGCGGGTTCCTGACTAGCTCCTTGTACATATGCACCGAAGCTTCACAAACTGAAATATTTAATTCCCCTCTGTATGCCCATGGCGACCGTGGTCATATTATCTCATACGCGTTTACCCCCTTCACCCCTGGAGAACCGGAGCAACTCACGATCCACCGCGGCTTCGAAATGGCAGGGTTCTTATTCGTCCAACCTGGCCGGTGGTCCGATGTGTGGATCCTGAGGCAGCAAACGGTTTATTCTCGATTCATTCTCGGCATTGAATGCAATTTAGCCTGTTGCCGAGGTTGCAGTAGACTTGGACAATGACCTTTCATTAGTTAGGTTCCAAGGTTGGTTTATGTACTCTGTAGTGCCTAGAAAATGACTTGTACTACAGCTTAGAGCTATTCTCAGACCATTTCAATTGGTGGGAAACATGGGAAATAATGGATACTAAGCCATGTGAATACTATTTCCCAAGGTCAAGTGGTCTTCATAATTTTTTTTCTCCCCGAAAATAGTTAGGATCTCGACTCAATCGGCATCCGATGTCCCGATATAGTCACGTGATATAAAACCTTCTCCAAAAATTGCATCTACGGTTCCACATCTAGATAAGTCAACAAGACCATCCAACCCCTCCACACGAGCAAAAGGGCAAGAAACGATCCCAAAAATGCCAACTCCAATCCCCGGCTTCCTCCTCCCGCGAGGCCCACCCTCAGCATTGACTCTGCGCCACCTCCAACGTCAAAGCGCGCGACGCAGCTTCACCTCGACCAGTCCCGCGTTGAGGAAAGTCAGTAAGAGCAACGCCAATGCCAATGCCAAATCCAGCGCCACTTCCAAGCCCCGCGTCCTCGCAAAGCCGGACAGATTCCGCCCGCCCTCGCACCCCCAGCGCCTCACGACTCCATCTCCGAAGAACGCACCACCTGGCCAACCATTCGAGTATGGCCCGCGCACGACGGAGAAAGAGCGCGTGGAGCAGAGCAAGACGCAGTACCCGGGCATGTTCCCGCCGGAGGGGACAGTGATGTTTAAGTTCCTGACTAGCAAGTGGATCCACATTTGGATTGCGATGGTGAGTTTCGACTAGCACAGAGTCAAGCTCTGTGTATATCTCCAGATCCAGATCTAGATCTACCCAAAACCTCCGAGGACAATCGAACAATCCAGTAAACAATTAACTAACCAACCATACAGAGCGTCCTAATCTCCTGCGCCGGGTTCACCTTCACAACAAATTTCAAAGCAACCTCACCATTCGCGCACCTGCTACCATCCTGGTCGGGTCTGCTGACGTCGCCCGTCGGCACGATCTCACAGGTATTCTCTGTGTGGCGGATGCATGTGCAGCACAACTCGATGCGCGTGCGGGAGCAGCGACACCGTCGCGTTGAAGATGCGGAGAAGAGGAAGCAGTATCGTGTTGCGCATGGGCTTGAGGAGGCTGAGCCTGAGAAGAAGGAGGAGGGCGGTAATGAGGTTGACTCGCAGTCTCCTGTTGCTGCTGTTGAGGGTGCGGAGGGTGCGAAGGAGTTTGTTGATTGGGAGGGGAATAAGAAGCCCGTTAAGAAGTGGTTGGGGATTTGGTGATTTGGTGATTTTTATTCCCTATATACATAACCTTGGGATGGGCTAGTTCATCATATCTACGGGTGATATATCTATCCATCTGGGTATGGCATAGACTAGATATGATGTCTATGGGGTTTGGCTGTGGGTATGTATCGATGGACCCGTTCCTACATGGGGGACCTGCCGATACCCCTCCAGCAGTCACGTTGGTGTAAATGGATTTCAATCCATTTTGTACATTAGTGGACTTTCAGTCCAGCTACGATAGGAGGATTATCTCAACTTTAATCGAATCAACGATGAACAGAAACGATTTGACCAAAAGACAACGCTTTTCTCCAAACTCCAGAAGCAGCGACCTATCAACTCAGATATCAAAGTCGCAACCTGAAAGTAATGCTGTACTTTATTACTCATACATGGCCATGAGAAATGGATAAAAATAAGACATTTATTGCACTTCAACCCCCTCAAGTCCCTCAAGGACCTCCTCGCCAACACCGCCCTTACCGAGAACAGTCTTAATCATGCGTGCAATGACACTGCGCTTAGCACCACCTCTGCGCGGACGCCAGACACCCTCAACCTCCTCCTGACCACCAGATTCCTCGCCAGGCGCCGCAGTAGCACCAAGCATATTCACATTTTCGGAATTGGGGATACCAGGCTGAGTGAGGCGGGAGGGGGGATCGATGGAGCGGATCGATAGCAATTTCAAAGTCTCGGAGTCGCTGCTGCGCGTAACTGAGATGGCCAGGACGGCGTCTGCGACGGCGATTTCTTCACGGTTGGGGTCAAAGATGACGTTATCACCGACGGAGATCACGAGCAGCGTTACAGGTGGGCGGACGGGGTATGATGGAGCGGCGGAGAGAGGAGATTTGGAAGTATTAGAGCGCGGGTAGAGATACTCCGCGGCATCCCAGTCATCGTCGAAGAAGGGGTCTTCTTCACCCGTGGACTTGAGTTTCGGTAGCTTAGTGCTGAGGAGGGCGAGGTGGGTTGTGAGCGAGAGGAGGGGGAGGGGGTATGCGAGAGGTTGAGAGAGGAGCAGGACCTAGAGAATAACATGTTAGCAGTGATCAAATGATACCTTTGGAACCACCGAAGAACCATAAACCCCAAAGACAGGAAACGTTCTGAGAAACTTACATCAATATACAAGCGCCAATGCCACCGCTTGTTAATAACCAGTCTCCCCTTCAACCCACCGGCCATCTCCTTCGCGGCATCCCCATTCCCACCAGCAACAGAACCAACCAGACTCTCCCGCATCATCTCACTCAAAAATACAGGCAGGGCATCATCATCCCTAAACCCGGGGATCTCAATCGACATCTGCACCCACTCTCCCTGACCTGAGACAGCGGCCGAGCCCTGCTCGCCCTCGCGGTTCAGTGCGTCACCATGCTGCGCCAGACTGCGCGAGTCGAGCGTGTCGGCTGCAAGAACGGTCTTCTCGACTTCTGCTTTCACGCCGACGATCGCTTGCGTGCCGTCTGCAAACCCGATGCGCGCGCTGCCGTTCGTGCCGGGCAGGATGGTGGTCTCGGCGGAAAGAGGGCGGAACTGTGTGGGTGAGCGGCCGTCTGGTCGGATTGGGTTCTTGGGGAGGCTGAGGGAGGTGTAGAGGTAGGAGAGTTCAGCGGGTGAGAGGTGGGGGACTTGAGAGGCGGAGGAGGCTTGTCGTTGGTTTGACATTTTGGCGGATTTGGTGTTTTTGGGTAGCTGGGGAAATAGATTGCTGTGTTTTGGAGGATAGAGCTAGAGCTCGGTTGCGCGAGTTTAAGCTCGTAGCTGTTGGCGGGCGGTTTGATTTTGTGGTGATCGGCCCGCGATTTGTGAAAAGTACTTGCCGGGGCGCGTGTTGGGTATGCTAAGGTGTTGGTAGCCCGGACTTCAAGCTATGGCCAGTCTATTTTCGACTGGTAAGGTGGTGCTGGGAAGCAATTGAGGAGAAGAAAAAAAGTTGGTAGAGTCGAGCAGCGCAGTCTCAATCAGGAAATCTTGATGTGCACCGGATGATCGTTGTTCCGCTGATATCGGTCCATGTACGGAGTACGAGAAGTATAGATGCAATGTGACTTTTCTACATTCACCCTGTAATCTCGATATAGAATGACTTGTCTTCTACTACTTAAACTAATTTTCTGCATATGCTAAACCTGCAGTCTTTCAGAGCCCAACAATCCCACCTTCCCACGTTGTCCATCATTTTCCATCGCCAACAGCTCCCCATACCAATTAAGTTCATAGAAATTTGAGAGCAAGTGGTAAAGAAGTAAACTTTACGAGGAATAAACGGTATATGGTCTTAATATAAGCTTTTGGATAGATTCAATGCATATGTAGTAAGATGTATGTATGGGCATGGCACAACGGCCAAAGGCGGAGGTATATTACGAGAGTATAGAACGGACTGGATCCAAGCCAGCACGCCGAGGTGGGGAGAGGAAATGATACAAGAAATCGAAGCAGGAGAAAGGGCTATGACAAGAATATGTAAATGCAGGGATAGATAAATGATAGAAAAATGATAGAAAATTGATAGACAAGAATAAAGATGGGAATGGCTGTAGCCGGACAATGTACAAGCGGGGGAGAAAGGGGGGAAATTATATGGACAAAAGAAAAAGAGCGCAATATTCATCGAGAATGATGTGCAAATGTGCAGATCCGATATCAGACATATCGGATGAAGAGAGGGTGAGGAATACCTAATAAGGTAGAGGGAGATGCGGTGTATGATGCGACTTGCGCATGTGGTATCAAATGTCAAGGAAAGAAATCACGCCCCTGTTAAATGACGAAACGAAAGGACTCCATGAAAAGGAAAAATAAACGAGGCCCGGATCCGTCTATAAAAGGGCTGCAGGGGTATGAATGTGGGGGAAATGAGAAACTTGCAAAAGAGGGCGAAAGCCCAATGCCCATATGTGAAAAAATGATAAAACACCCTCCGAAATGGCCAGACCTTGTGAAGAAAATGAAAAAAAATAAATCCCAAATCCAGACGCCTTGAGCTATGTAGGTTGCTCGGTGTTTGTTCCGTTGTTGCGCAATTTCGCCAAATTTTTGTGCTTTTCGCAACTCAAAAGGATGTGATGTGGTTCAAGATGGTGGTTGGAACACTTAGATGTAGTTGGATCCCCGGGCGAAGTAGTCGGATTTCTTGTTGTGATACTCGGCCTCCTCGTAAGGGGGGGTGGGCCAATGGCGGTTTGTGGCAGCGGGATCAATCTTGTGAATGTTCAACTTGCTAGGTGTCGAGTGTTGACCAAACGTAGCACTGTCCTTTGCCGTGGGTGACGGTGTAGGATAGGGGTTTTGCAGTGTACGCGAGTTGTCTGGTTGCCGGTGAACACCACTGTGCGAGTCGGCAGCCATTGACTGAGTCAGAGCCAGGCGTCTAGCCGCCTTGCTGGCAGAGTGCAACACCTCATCAAGCAATTCATCTTCCTCTTCAGGAGTCTCGTACCGGTGAACCGGGTGGGTAGACATCTGCATGGCACGGCGAGTCCTGCTAGAGATAGGGGCAGCGTTGTTGCCGGTGGCCTGAGGCATTGACTGACGCTTGGTGTGGCCGTCTGCGGAATTGTTCAAGTGCACCGGGACATTGCTCAGTGTGGACGAGTCCAATGCGTACTTGACAGATTGAAGAGCCTTGTCCAGCTCGTTCAGGTCGGAACCTTGCTTTGGTTCACTAGTAGGCCCATCCAGAGCCACTGAGGAACGGTTCGACCAAGGGATGCAACCTGCGTTAGCCTCGACGTCATCAGCTGGCGCTGCTTGGTTTCGTCCAGACAATCTGCGGGCGCGCTTGCGCAGATGCGAGAAGAAACTCTCCTTTGTGGTTGGAGTGTTAGTCCCGGAACCGTTGAGCATCCTTTCAGCCTCTTGACGGTTCTGGTCCGAGTAGTGATTCCCATGGGAGTTGAGGGACAATTGCCGGCCGATCTTTGAGCTAGCTGATGTGTCGGAGGACTTGGAAGCCTCGCTATGCGCCATAGTAGCGTTCGCCTGGGCTGTAACGGAGTTGGAGAGAGGGGAGACAGGGCGGATAGAAGGGAGGATTGGCATCGGTGCACCGTTTGCCCAGGTAGCCCGCTTGGTGTTCGCGGGACGCGGCTTGACAGGCTGGATCTCAGGCACAGTGACTTGAGTAACAGCTGCTGGCCGGGCAGGGCTGTCCTCTGCAGTAGGTACAGGGCTGTCTGACCGAACGATCAATGATCTCCGGAACCATGAAGGCTTAGACGACAATGTAGGAGAGTCACCAGGGGTAAGAGTTGGTGACCTGAAGCTCTTCTCGGACTGCTTGCGGCCCAGCAGTCTCGACGAGGTGGAGGACTTGGGCCGCACCGGATCAACCGCATCGGCGAAGTACTCGTGGTTAAGCGCCTGGGTAGACGTTGGGCGGTTCTTAGGGTCCCACATGAGACACCATGTGACAAACTCGCTAAATGCCGCGGGCCACATCGGGGGCTGAAGCACAGATTCCATCGCGTGTGGTGCCATTTTGGGGAACGTGAAACCGAGCTTGTGAGCCAGGCGCGATCCTTCACGCCATTCACCACCACCAATCTTGGCGCCCGACTTGCTGTACCAGTTGCCTGGGCTACCCATGATCTCACACACACGCCAAACTTGGTCGACCTCGTTGCCTCCCGGGAACAGGGGCTTTAACGTGGCAATCTCAACTGCCATGGCGCCCATTGCCCACATGTCGACTGGGGCCGAGTACTCTCCTGCTCGTAGAAGCACTTCAGGTGCGCGGTACCAGCGCGTGGAGACATATGTAGTGTATGGTTGTTTGGAGTGAGTCTCACGAGCAAGACCAAAGTCGGCGATCTTCACAGTGTAGACAGGAGGGGTGGAGGGAGGAGTGACGAGGTTAGAGTAGCGGCTGAAAGCGGAATCATTGGGGGCGGAGGTTGACACGAGAATGTTCTCGGGCTTAATATCGCGGTGGAAGAAGTGGTGTGCGTGGATGTGGTCTAGACCGGACAAGATCTGGTAAAGGATACTCTTGACGTGCTTGCCTTCAAAGTATTTGTGGTCACGGGCCTTCATCAACTGATACAAGTTGCCATCCATGTATTCCATGCAGATGTGAAGCTTTCGGGAGAGGGGGTCGAGGAAGATGTCGAGGGCAGGGACGAGGTGGGGGTGAATGGGTAATGTTCGGAGGAAGATGACCTCTCGCAGGTCTAGACATGGACCCAAGGAATCAAATGTCTTCTTCATCGTTTTGATTGCAACCTAACCAACGAGTCAGTGGAAGCACAATACACCATCAAGCTTGCTATTCCATACCATAGTGCCTCTGCGAGCGATATGAGCACCGGCGGTCCGTACGCGTGCGACGGCAACACTACCGAAGCTTCCATCACCAATCTCCTTAATGACTTCGAAGCGGTCCTCGAGGGTTGCCATGGAGGTATGTGACCCCCGGGTGGGTGTATCGTATGTGACGGTCATGTTGATGAGATGTCTCTTCAGGTCTGCCAGCAGATCGAGAGAGGAATGTGGAGGAGGGGTTCTAAGGGGGTTCAGGTCAGCTTCCCGGCATTGTCAGAAGATCAGGCGTTCTTACAATTATTTAGAGGGGAAAGTTTCGCAGTATCCCCGAGTGAGTGTGTATGTATATGGGTATATCAATTGCAGCAGGTGATCATGTTCCGAGAATCAGTTCGAGCCAGACGATTGGGTTCCCATTGACGGAAAAGTAAGGAGTGACGAGGTAGTTGGAGGGGGAGTGACGGTGGTCATGTAGTGGGCGATCTGGAAGGACTGAGGACCGGGCACGATGCAATAAAAAGGAAAATCCAGAATAGGAGGAGACCCGGCCTGGTGGAAACTGGAGGGATCGGAGGACCGAGGGTGAGCCCCTGACGCGGTGACAGCTCGAGCTCCTCGACGGGGGCGTGGAGACGGTAAATTAACAACTTTCGGTCGTTGCAGATCAGTCCACCGTGGCGAAACTCTTCAAATATGAGGTCACTTGGAATGTGTATAGGTTGGAAAGTAGAAATTTAGAAGTATCAGAGTATAAGAATAATGAGAATAAAGAAACAAAAAAAGAGAATAAAAGAGGCATCGCCAACATAAGGTGCATATAGAGGGGGGTTCTACGTATGAGAAATCCAGACTAAATTACTCAATACTGCAATACTGAAATTATACAAGAAAAAAAAGAAAATAAACTAATTTACAAAAATAAACCAAACAGAAAAATCTAAATTAAAATGAAATAAACCAACTCAAACCAGCTAAAACCCCAAATAACGGGTTGCTCCCGTCTCAACCAATGGCACAATCATTGTGGAAACGGGTACCTTATTTTCAATTTTACCATACAAGTCTCCCTAAAATATGAACACTTCTTTTTGAAAAAGAAAAAAAAAAAGGGAAGAGAAGTCTCAAATAATTAATTCAATAATAGTCATACTATTTCATATTCCATATTAACTACAAAGTAAGTATTGTAGTGTAGTGCATATTTCTATAACAAACCCTATATGCTTATCACATCTGTATAATTCCCTCATTGTATTTATCATCTGACCGCTGTGGATGCACGGCGCCTAATAGTTGAGGAGGTTGGGCATACAATAATTGTGTGCAGCCTGTGACCGTTGCCCACGAAGCCCTAGTCTGCAATGTTTGGGGCGTGTCGGAAGGGGTTGGGCCGCGTTGGTAATTTTATTTAACTCGAACATGGGAATTGGCTGCCTCGAACTATCACTCCCAGGACTAACACACTCTAGTTAATGTCTCCAGTTACAAACAAAGACATTTCATCTTGACTTTGATACAAAAGTACACACCGATCACCTTGGTTACCCCATCTTTGTACGAGTCACTTCCAGCGGAGATGTACTTGGTTCTCCGTTGATGCACCAGATGTACCAGATGTACGATGTAAGATGTAAGATGTACTCCGTACTACCGCAGACACACAGCTCCCAGAATGGGCGAGAACAGCAAGGAGAATCCTTTCCCTCACCATCTTATGTTCCTTATGTCATGTCCTACCTTCGGACTTCTACTCTCTGCCAGTTGCATTCTCGCACGGATAGTAGAATACCGGCTGTCTTATTATTCGGCTGCTAACGGACCATCCCTGTTTCAGTGCCTCGCCTACGGAGTAGTTCGTGTTGGCTTCTTAACTTTGATTGATATTGGTTGACCGGACATCCTGTGCCTCATTTTGTTTTCCGCCACCTGATCTCCTGATGCATCGTAGCTCTGAGAGACGAGGTATCTCGCTGTCTCTTTTCTGACTGATCCTCCGACTGGTCTGGGCCAATCATATACCGGGGTAAGATGCTGGCACGGCCACATGGAAGAGAATTGGTAAATTAGGTTCGCGGCCGGACGGAAAGGTTCGCGGGATAGAAAGGCAGGTAGACTTAAGCCGGCGATGGGCTGGGAGTTGCATATGATGGGTTCTCTTCTCTCTTTGTTCAAAGGTACCCGGGTCTGGGCCCCGTATGCTTAGTAGATCATTGACAGGTTTCTGCCCAGCCGTCTCCGATTGGGAACAGCGTAGGATTTGCTTGTCTACTCGGGTTTCTTTGTTGAAATCCCGTCTAAAAGACTCGCATGTTAGTGCCTCTGTTGCCATGGATGCCGGATGTGTTGACGTATTACAAACTTATAGAGTCTAGGACATCGTACCAGTAGTATAGATGGTCTCTTAGACTCCAATCAAAGTGATGACAGTAAGATCATAAACCAAGCCCATTATAGCCACTTTGCGGGAAGTCTCTAACCGCGTCATTCCGGTTTCTCCACTAAATTCAAAGCTAGGGGATGTTCGCGGTCCCGACAACACAGACGTGGATAGCCCAAATCTTACACGGTACGGAATATGGAGTAAAGAAATGTAATTACCTGCAGGAAGCGGGATGGAATGCACCTGTCAGAAGGACGAACCCTGGGGCAACCGTTGTGGCCCAGGATCCTAATTTTATTTGGACTCTGCAAGGCTGATTTGAAGAGCATTTAACCAGTCTGTTCAATTCATCAACTCATAACATCCACTGTTTCAATGTTCGGCGTTCGCCCCTTATCCGACCTCTGCATGAAATTCCAGGTACTCCGTACATAAAGTACATAAAAGAACGCAAATCTAAGGGCCGTACCGAAAGGAAACCAAGGTTCGAATTTAGTGGGTCAATTCCTTTTTCACTTTTTATATTTTTCTCTAGACCGCACACTTTTATTACCATTCGGACGCGACGTGGAGTACACACCGTGTACAATATACCATATGAGTTGTACACGGAATACCACAGACTACATTCACTTTCAGAACATATTCCACTTTCTCCAAGTTTCGAGTCTATGATTCGCCCAGTGGGGCTTCCTACTCCACGCATACCAACTGCAAGCCAATCATCACCGATCAAAGATCAGTAGTACGATGGAGTCTATGCGCCAACAATGCCATTGGCCCCATCACTAAAAACAGCCCACTTTATCCAGTTGTTGTGCCTATGACGACGCCGTCTTATCCCTCACAATTGCCTAGTCACGCACCGTCGATTCGGGGGACTACGGAATGCTCCACGGTGGGCCTCATCTAGGCCAGTCCTAGCTACCCGCGGAGGGCTGCTATAGGGGAGGATCGCAGTGTCGCCACTTGGGAAAGGAAACTATTTGCTTCCCAGTCTGCCGGGAGGCGCCGTCATGTTCCTTTGGCCTTCGAGAAGGCGGTTCCTGGCAACGTGATCATCGAATATCCGAATTAATTGCGAGTCAACGGTCTCCGAATGGTTATCTTGCCTTAGGATGGGGTGATTATTGCTTAGACTTTAGACTCCATAAAGCGAGAACTTGTCGGGGCCAAATCCACCTTGGCCAATCTTCTACCTCGTTGCCCCCTAACAGGCAACCCCCTTCTCTAAAGACTAAACAAGCTGACCAACGACGAACACACGATCACAGGGATGTTCATCCCGAACTTCGTAGGGAACTTCCTAGCGACCGTTGGTAAATTACCAATTTCAAGATTTAGACCTTCCACTTACAACATACTACACTACATTCGACTAGATCACCTCGGCCCACTTCAAACACCGAAATGTCTGTGTGAATTTCCAGAATCCGTGGAAGCCGCGGGACGGACACCCCCTTGATCGCTGGGACTGTCAGATCTGAGTCCCAGTAGATTATTCGTTCCAAGTGTGCACGAGGGGCCTAAATTAGCTTGAATGGGCCGTTTTAAATTGTTTTCATTAGAGTGGTCCCACCGTCACTCCAGTAACATTAGATTTATATGAAAGTTTTGCGCATTGGGAAGGTGTCTACAGCACAATACATTAACAGATAGTCTTTCACTTGCAGAGTCAACTAGCACTAGCCCTTTATGCTACCTAGCGTACGGAGTGCACAGTGGCAGTGCCACTTACTGCATGTTATTGATTTTCTTCGTGTTCATCTCTGGCTCCGGGTATATTTAGATCGCCAGCTAAGGCGGCCATGATGTCTTGCTTACCGCAGTGATATACCTACATTGTGAAGTGATAGATGCCCCTCCTCCCTCCCCTGCCCCTGCCGTGCTGCCCAAACTGGGTCCTTATGTGTGTCATACCTAACTAGCTTATTCCATTACTCTGGGAACTAATGTCCGTGGTCCGGTTGGCTTTGAAACTAGCCCCTGTCGAGATTGGGGGATGCCCCTATGTTGTATGCAGAGGCAATCAATTATGCTTCTATTTGAGGGGCTTGCTCCGCTTCTTCTATGGTTTTCTAGAAATAAAATAGAGTGGTTTCGGACGCCGGTGCATATAAGTGAGGTGAGAATGCTGATTGATTTAATATCACTCCTTTTTGAAGGTCTTGTAAGAGGCTTGTTTACTATCTCTGTCATTGCCCTACTAAGAATAACGTCTAAGGTGGCCTTGATTTTCCATAGCAGTTATATGGATATTTACTAAAATATAACACCACAATCTTGGAAGAATGGTCGCTTATGCGGCCTTGTCATATCTTTCTTGATAGTGGTTTTGATAGTGGTTTTGATCGTGGTTTTGAATGTCTTTTTTTATGTATTTTTTATGGATATACCCCGCCCCCTTTATTGGTGTTGTAGCTAGAAGGATAAAAGGATTAGCCGCAAAGTATAGAATATAGTGAAAAGGGTGTAGAATGTGGTGCCTTGGAGGGAGATGAGAGGTGCTGTCTGATTTAATATTACTCGTTTTTGAAGGTTTTGCAAGAGAATCCTTTTTTGCTATCTCTGCTGTTGCCCTGATGAGCAATAGACTTGATAGCCAAGGTGGCTTTGATTATGCTGTGTGTTTGCTTTCTAGAACACAATGCTGTTCATATTGTTTGGTTGATGGCTTTCATTTGCGGCATCTGCATGGATCAACATACTCAGCTGTGTGCTCAGCTATTATATATCTACTCAAGAATTAACAACAACAACTTGCCCTTTTTTCTTGGTATCATTTCCACTTTCATGCCTTTGGTCCTTCTTGTTGAGCAGAGCTCTAAAGCCAAAAAGAACAAGCAAAAACAGAGCTCATGATGGAAAAGCAAATTCGAGGTGATTGAGTTGGTCAGCCCAAAACCCTCACTTTCGGAAAGAGCAACCCACGCAGCTTCCTCATTGTGCCTGCCCCCGCCAATATAAATCGACTATTGTCCTTCCTCTCGTTTTCTCTTCCTCGCCTCTAGCCACTAAACTCACTCTGTGTAGTATCCTGCGATCTATACAATTTTTTACCTGATCCTCTTGTCTTTCTGAAATACCACCATTTGACCATGCCTCAGGGACGCAGACGGGCCCCCATCAGTCCGTTTGCGCAGGGATACACTCCGCAAATGAGAGAAGCGTCAGTTAACCAAATCTCACTTTAGGAAGCAAGACTTTCGCTAACAAAGTGTTGATAGCGTGGACCGAATGCCGATTCCAAACGAGTCAGTATTTTCATCTGTCTTGATCTTCAACTGCTCAACTGCTCACCGTCGTAGAATCAAATGTTGCGTTTGCAAGCGGCTTCGCCCCAAGTCCCAGTACTCGAACAATCAACTGAACTACCTCCGCCAGGCAATGTTCGATATTGGTTACAGTAACATTCGTGACCAGCAGGTTGCTAAGTGTGGTCCATGCACGAATGCTCAGGTTTGTGAGGAGCTGTGTCATCGTTGCGGTCACTACCGTGCCATCGACCAATTTGCCAGAAACCAACGGAATCGTGAGAATCCGGTATGTCTTCTTGATCTACGCACTCTAACTGCTTCTCACACTTGGTTGGTCTCGATAGCTCTGTCAGCCCTGTATGAACTACCAGATGTCCCTCGATCCTGTCGATCAGCCTCTTGCAATTACGGACAAAGTTGTGGTCGAGGATAATACAGAGGATGAGGATGAGGAGCTCAACTCTGAGTCTGCGGGTCGTTCCGGATCTGTGGTTCTATCTGGGTCTGTGGGACGCGCTGAGTCTGTCGATCTCTTTAGCTCTCTGAGTCAGTCGGTAAGTGAACAGAACTACATCAGCTCTGGTCAAGTCTTGGTGTGTTACTCATTTATATACTTTTACTGCAGGAGAGCCTGGAGCAGGGCATTGAGAGAGCTGTCGTCTTGCACGATGATTCCACGGATAGTGATGGTAATGCGAACCGGAACGGCTTTGCAAGAGTTAAGGTAGGTAACTTTATCCCAACAGAACTTCTCTCGCTCTGGATGAACTTTTAAGCAAACTTCATATTGTATAGGCACACCGCCCTCGTCAGGAGCCTGTTCCCGACCCCGAGCCCGCCCCAGGCTGGGCACCCGGTACCCGCAAGGTCAATGATGGCACTCCTTGGAAAGGAGGAAGGTTCCTCTAATTGTTTCCAGCACCGTGCCAGTGCATTTCCTAAGAACAACCTTCGGGTTATGATTGACGATGCTTCTATCTATGAACACTTCAACTGCTAAGCTGCGCCTAGTATTGCAGTCCGCGGCTTGCTCTGCTTTTCGCTTGCCTTTGCACACACATGGTTCGACCCCTGGGTCTGCCTATGATGTCTCCTATGTGTGTTCAGACGCTCTTTCTTCTGCTCTTTCTTCTGCTCTTTCTTCGGGGGAGGCGAGTTTCTAGTGATTCCAGCCCTATGCCTGGTGCATGTCTTACAGGCAAATTTTTCACATTCTGGTTGACAGGGCTTTTATTTACAGGGTGGGGTGGACTTATAAGTCCGCGCCTGATATAACCCTGTCTACTTTTTTTTTTTTTTTTGCTTTCTTTTCTGGAGTCCTAGGGTTGACTACAACATATGTTTTATGAAGACCCAGGTACCAATCCAAGTTTATTTTCAATGTTTTGTTTCCTGTTCTCCTATGGGCTGGGAGGCAATAGTGCCATGGTTATGACATCGGTGGTTCCGCTGACTCCACCTACTATAAATAAATCACCAGCTCGTATGTTGTATGTTGTAGCTCGAGTTCATTATCATTCAGGCATGTTCCAGCTATTTCTGGTGGTTGGAAAGACTACAAAGTATAATGGCAGTGGCAAACTGATTAATCCATTTTGGCTTCTGATAAGCTTTTGATTTGTTCGTTCCAATAATAATGATATCTGATCATAATGTGAGAATAATAGAGGAGAAGAGGGCAACCCTACAGAATATATAGACAACCCTTAAGACTACAAAAATACTCTGCTCTGTCGATCGGAGCCCCAACCGTCGGATCCGGGCCGACAGTTGGCAATGACATAGCTCAATCTTTGAAATAGTGTCCTTGACAACTCTGATAGGTGCAAGGGAAACTATAACCTACATGGAAGATGCATGTAAAGTCCTCAGTGGTCGCTACGCACTGCAATATGCATGCTCCATTAGTCTGCCGATCGCATCGCTCTGACCCAGTCTAGCAATATGACAGAATATCTGTGGGACGTTAATATAACAAAGGGCTAATATATATTAAAGAGCGACCGCATAATGTGACGTCGAGGGAGTACAAAGAGAATGAATCTTAAATCCGTCTCTTAGTGACGATGTGATCGCCACAACGTTTCACTCGCCCCCCCCACTAGCCCCTCCTCCATAATTTATTGGTAATTTGTAACCTCTCTGCACTTCTTCTTTCTAGAAATTTTCCAAATCGATATTTACAACGAAGGATTACACGTCTTTGTGCAAAGAGAGCAGCCCAGCCACATCTAAGCCTCCGAACCCCCGTATGGCCTACAATGGAAATTACGCCAGGAATACATATCAAACGGGCAAAATGAACCAAGATCCAAACGAACATGGGTATTCGTCAACACCTCCATATCCATCCTACTACGAACCAGCCCACCTGAACATGCCGCAGCCACAGGTGCCGCAGACTGGTCCGCCGGCCCCAAATCCAGCCCCAGAGCCCTACACCTATCCGGAACCCCAGCGCTCCTCCCCAAACATGCACACTGGGCACATAGACAATGCAGTGAGCTCTGCATTTCACAATAGTGGCTCCGCAGGCTACCTCTCCCCGGAAGTTTTATCGCAGATCACAGCAACAGTGATCCAGCAACTCAAGACAACTGGGTTAGACAACCTACAAGGATCCGGTGCGCCCCAGCCCCGCTCGCAATCACAGCAGCCACCATGGCAAACGGATGGCTCGATGCGGCCGCACGCAGAGTCCCCGCCTACCGTACCCCTGCAGCGAAGCAGTTCAATCCCCCCACCCAGTTCGGCCTCTGACAACACCAATACTGGGAATTTCCAGCAATACGCTCCCTCCGGTTACACTAGTGATAGTCATCTCGGCCCGAAACCCACTCCTGATCCCCTTGCAAATAGACGGGGCTCTATATCGAGTCAAAGTAGTGATCGGAGTCACCATAGCCACCATAAGGCGGAGCGTCCGAGGCCTCCGGATCGGGACGCTACCGTTATGGAGATGACTACTCTGGAGCGGATTTGGGGGAAATTGTTTGAGGATGGTAAGGCGACGAAGAGGCTTGGGCAATTCTTACGTGGGATTGCGGTTCATCTGGTATGTGGACATTTGTCTATTCTAATATAGTATGGATTTGATGGCTAACTTGAGTAGATTGAGGACTATCCGCCGGGAAACACTATTGTCATTCCCCCTCACAAGTTGCAAAAGTTCTATCGTGATACTCATGATCCGAATGACCCTTATCCATGGCAAGGTTGGTGGTTTCATCTGTTTATTGACATGCCAAATTCTGACAAAATATTTAGACATCTTCGACGATCGTACATCTTCGATATCCCGACTATTCCGCGAAATCAAAGTCGAACATCATCTCGTCCAAGACGATATAGAAAGTCGCCCAGATATCCCAGGGCTAACACCCAAAGGCTTCGAGACCTGGGAAACCTTGATGATCCTCGCGAACCCAGGGCGTGAATACGAGCGGCTCCAAAAAGCAGTCCTCAACATGCCCATCAACAACCCCGACGACAAGAAAGAGCGTTTCCCAAAGGAAATCCCGCGCCGCCTCTTCCCGGAAATCGGAGATATCGAAATCAGAGAAGATATCGAGGACCGCATGATGGTCCACTGCGGCGTCGATTTACCATACATCACCCCCGAAGAACGCAACCAATCCGCCGCCCGACCGACCCGATCATCCACCAAGACCACATCACCCACAGAGCGAACCCACTCATACGAGCGAGGCCGACCCCGCCCCACAGCCTCTATCCCAAGACCAGCCCAACAACCACAACCAAGACCCGCCTCGGCCGTCACAGACGACGACGAAGACGAACCCATCCCCTCAGTGCCAATCGAGCGCGAACGAAAGCCCTACAGCGCAAATCCAGGCATCGGCAAGGTCTATGAAGGATCAGGCCACAGCCGCAGCCACGCGGGCTCCTTCTCCACGTCCCGGCCCTCGGACTCTACCCACAAGGGACCGGCTTCGGGACAAACTCCAGCACACCGCATGTCTGAGTCCTATGACCGCGACCCGCACTACTCACGCTCGGGATCTGGCCATTCTGCTGATAAGCGGTTCTCGCATGACTCTCGTAGCTCGTCGCAGAGTGTGAATCACCGCGGTGGTGGTGGTGACTATAGGCATTCAGAGGGTGATTTGCATGGTCGTGACCATTCGGCTAGATATGCGGGGCTGTCGGCGCATGATTTGTCGTATAGCGAGTCGCCTACTGCGAACCTGCCTGAGGATGGTGCGCGCAGGTTTCATATTGATGGTAGGCGGGGTAGTGAGGATGAGTATTATCGTGGTAGTGGGCAGGGCGGGGGGTCTGGGCCTCAACAGCGGAAGTTTAAGTTTTACTCTTGAGGTGGATTTGTTCTATGTTTTGGTGTCTTTGGCTTTGTTTCTTTTGGTGGTGATTGCGTGTCAGGGTCATTTTCCAGTTCTTCTGGCTCTCGATGTCAATTTCGGTCTTGATTCTGATTTTGATTCTTTCCAAGCTCGGCGTTGCATGGATACGAAGATACCCCTTCTTTCCGGGGTTATACATGACTGACGATATCTCATATTTCACGATTGACGTTCTGATCTGTTCTGAATACATGTGAGATAATAATTCCATCAATAGCATCGGGAATAAAAAAAAGTGCAGCGCATACTCAAGTTGAATGAATCAATCTCATCCCGACCCCCCAAACCCAAACTTCCTCATAACCCTCTCCCCATCCTCTCTAATCTTCCTAACCTCCCTCTCCCTCTCGATCTCCTCCCTCTCATACCGGCGCGCAATAGCCCTAGCATGTCTCTCTTCACGCTCAACCCTCTTCCTGGCATTTCTCTCTGCGCGCCTCTTATTCTCCAACGCGCGCTCATCACATCTCTCAGCATCACCACGCAGCGTCTCGATCTCCTCGTCAGTCAACACCCACGGCACAGACAAGACCTCAATAAAGAACCGCAGGCGGGTATCCAGGAACTGCATTTCGGCGTTCGTATCGCGCACGAGCCAGAACCGCTCGAGATGTAACTGCATCTGCGAGCGGAAGTTTGACAGTGTCCCTTTTACCCGGACTAGCGTTCCTGGTTGGAGAGCTGAGATGTCTATCTCGTCGTGGTCTTTGGAGGTTACGTGTGTTTCTTGGGTGAGGTTGGTGGCTGTTGTTGCTGTGAGGGAGAATGAGGACCATGCTGTTTCTTTTGAAGTTGCAGGGGGGTTGCCTGGCTAGTGGCGCTGGGTTTTGGTGAGGTCTTTTTTAGTACGGTTATGTCGATTGTTGCGCCGCTGCTGTCGTCTAGTGTTAGGATTGTGCGTCGTGGGATATCTGTTCGCGCTACTATGACGCCTACTAGGCTGACAAATTGGATTGGGTGGTTGTTGTAGAAGAAGATATTTTGGCCTGTCAGGTTTGTTAGTTATGTGGTTTTTTTAATGTATAATAAGCCTGGCTGTGTTTTGGTTGGAGGGACATATTGGGTAATAGGAAGACAGAATATGTCTGGGATATGTCGGAAACGCGAAAAGCATGACGGAGGGAATTGAAACAAGTATAGAAAGTTCAGATATAATGGAAAGGAAATATAGACAGGCTGGTGGGTGATATCAAATGGACTTCTTCACGCTAACGCCTCTTTTCGAGCCTCCACGCTAGAGGATCCCAAATATGCACATGGGCGCTAGGCGCGTCGATCTCCAGGGAACACAAAGAAATGGCAGCAAGCTCAGAAAAAGAAATAACGTACCCACAAAGTCACTCGATTGTCGGAGACGATGCACATCGGCCGCGCCCATTTTCACCCAGGTAAAGTGCGTTGGTGACGCCTTGAAGCAGAACGCGGGGTAGAATACGAGGGTCTCATTGTTGACCGTTGCCATCGGTTCATCTTTTTTCTCGGGATGTTCTTGTTCTGGAGGTATCAAAAAAGATATCAGAGTTGTATTCAACTGGAAGCTGGAACTGTTGAAAGTCGGGTTGATGTCACGTGGTTGTATATAATTAAAGTCGTGGGACGCGTTATTTCCGGTTTGCTCAAGGGAAACATTTTCTGTATCTTCATCGTGAAGATCTAGGGTGTATCTCGGCGATCTTGGGATACTTCGATTGATTTACTCATACCTTTTGACATTCTACGTCATTGTCTCAAGAGGACCTTCAACCAGCCCATGATGGCACTGGGGCACATAATTGCTGATTTCTGCGTCACTTTTAATACTAACATACCCCACAATCTCTATAGATAGATATGCCTATCTCCCTCCATCATCCTCTTCATCGGATTCCTCGGCAATGCCTCCTGCCTCCTCCTCTCCTCAGGACTAACATCATCAACATTAGTCTCCTTCTGCCCCAATGCAGCCCTAATCTCCCCCTGCGCATTCTCATGCCCCGCAAAAGCAACAGTCAAAATCTCCTTCTCCAACCCACCAACATGTTCCCACTCAATGCCCGCCTGAGTCAGCATCCGACACCCCTCAGACTCGCCAACAAACGTGCCAGGCTCCTTAACCCCAAAATAAACCTTATGGATACCCTCTCGCCCGCCCTCCGCCGTCTGCGTGATGCGCTGCACACACGGCGCATTCCCAGACAGCCTCTTCCCGCACGGCTCCATCGTCACGTACATGACGAGCTTGCGGCCGGGCTCAACGGGGAGGACTTCGCCAACTTGGTCATCGGGGACTTTGTGCACTGCGGCGTAATTGGCTAAGCAGCATTGCTCGGCGTGTGTGTTGCCCGCGAGCTCCATTGTGTACCCCGTTGAGAGGATCCGGTCGTCAGTGAAGGTGGGGTCGTTGTCTTTGCGGGATAACAGGACTGCGCCGACTCGGTAGTTGGTGGGTCTTGGGGGTGATTGTTCCGCTAGGGAGAGGCATTTATTTAGGTAGGGTATGTGAGGGGAGGTGTTTGTCGTCATGGTGAGTGATGTCAGTTGCGATTGGGATGGGTGTTCGGTGTGGGAGGGGTTTGGGTAAGGTTGTTGTTTGAGATGTAGAATGTGGATTTTTAATTGGATTCGGATGGTCTTTGCAGCTCTTGAAATTCGAAGAGAGTGAAGTGGCGCTGTCGATGAGCTTGGGGTGCTTGAAAGTGGTTGACAGGCAAGGCGGGGAGCAGCAGCAAAATGACGAAATGGCCCCGTCGCGTCTAAATCGCGTTCCATTTCTACAAGCTACGCTAGTGTAGGCGCCACTTCTATTGGTCTTTCATCCATTAAATCCCAATTCGGTGTAATATATCAAAATTGCACTCAGCTCTTCTTACTGGTGCTCGAACAACCCCAAACACATATCGCATCATCGAAAACTTGCAATGGCGAAAAACGCGAAACCCGAAACTCATGCCTCGGACGAAGAAATGCCGTCTGTCGAGGAAGATCTTTATAAGATTCTAGGCGTTGCATCTGATGCAACCCCAGAAGCCATCAAAACCGCATACAAAAAGAGCGCTTTGAGAAACCATCCTGGTATGTAGACCCACGCAGGTTTGAAAACATCATACTAATCTCAGAGCAGACAAGGTGAGCGAAGAAGCCCGCGCAGACGCCAACGCCAAGTTCCAACGAATCGCACTGGCATACGGAGTACTCTCCGACGAACGTCGACGAAATGTGTACGACCGGACCGGCAGCACGGACGAAGCCTTCAGCGAAGATGGCGACTTCAACTGGATGGACTTCTACCGCGAACAGCTGTCAGCGATGCTCGACTCGCGGGCGATCTCGGACTTCCAGAAGAAATACCAAAACTCAGACGAGGAGAGAAAGGACCTACTCGCCGCGTATGAGACGCACGAGGGCAACATGGATGCCATCTACGATACCGTGATGTTGTCCAATGTACTAGACGACGATGAGCGGTTCCGGGGTATTATTGACCAGGCCATTGCAGATGAGGAAGTGGAGGACTTCGAGCGATATTCCAAGGAGCCCGAGAAGAAGAAACAGCAGCGTGTGAAGAAGGCGCAGAAGGAGGCGCGGGAGGCGGAGAAGTTAGGGAAGGAGATTGAGGATAAGAAGAAGAAGAAAGCTGGGGCTGCGTCGAAGAGCTCGAAGGCTGCGGCGAATGAGGATGATCTTCTAGCTATTATCACTAAGCGACAGCAAGATCGTGGTGCGGGTTTCCTCGCTCGTTTGGAGGAGAAGTATGCGCAGCCTGGGAAGAAGCGTGGTGTCGATGATGAGCCTTCTGAGGAAGCATTTGCTGCTGTTGGGGCTCGGAAGGGGACAAAGCCTAAGTCGAAGAGGGCTAAGGCTTGAATTAGGATCTTTGTTTCCTCCTGTAGCATTCATGTGTCATGTCTAAGCGTCTATCGTGTGGGTTTAATAGGAGTTTTGTAATTGCATACCACGATACCTTTTCATTTTTCTGGCTATAACAGTGACATAGAAAAAGGACATCCAACAAGTATCTAATAAGACATCTTAGAAGACATCTTAAAAGAGATTCAAAAAGACATGGTAGAAGATGTCTACATGCAGCCACTGTGGCTGCAGTAAAAAGCCTCAGCTTGGGCTCCTTCTCCCAATCTTTCCCTTTGGTCCTCTCCTTTATGTTCTTTTTCTTTCAACTTCAAAAACAGATTGTGCAGAATCCGATTGCCGAATATCGATCATAGTCTGTAACTATCGAATGTCGACTTTTTCTGACTTTCTGAGCTGTCAAGCCTATTTTCTTGAATTCTTCCCACTGATCCATCGTAACTAAACTCGAGACCCATTCCCAGCACCGTCATAACAGGGCGATCTGCTCCACATTCCTCAGTGCTTGGCGGAGTTGAGTGCTGAGTTCCCCACAGCCCGGAGGCGGTGCCATGTCGTACCACACTGGAACTTCTCCCACTGAACAACTGAAAAGCTTCGATGGCCGATCTACAATATCAACGACCCAAATAAACGAGAAACCAACGGGTCTAAGCCGTGCCCTGCAGAACCTACTCATTGCCCCGCAGTCTAAGAGTGCGGGCGGGACAACCTATTCGCCCAGAGCAGGCGGAACCCGCAATCCAGTCGAGCCACTCGTATCATCGCCTCTGCGCATCAGTTCTTCAGATATGGCATCCGCTCCAACTTCGCCGGAGAGGCACACTGCCGATCGCGAGGCTTTTTCTCGTAGATCATCCGACCATGTTGTTGACACTGTCCGCACAAATACGGGTCGCCTTAGTATTGACGATGACGCAAAATCAGATGTCGCTGAGCAGCCACACGCCAAAAAGCGATTTTTGCAGGCTCGAGATAGGTCCCAGAGCCGCAAAGGTGTGGCCGCCATAATGTCTGGCCGTCTCTTCCCGAGAAGCTTTTCCCGTGGCAGAGACAGAGACTCATCACGGGGATCTTCCCAGCGTGGATCGTCTCTCGACTCCCGTTCTGCTTCTTCACCGGAGCGGGGTCGCCCTAGTTCCTCTGGCAGTCATTCTGTTCATGTTGAAACCTTAACGCCCGCCCCTGTTGGTTCAGGGAAGGGGAAATCGCTTAACATCCACGATACATTCAACAAGTCAGACGAGGCACTGGCTAAACCTCACGGAACCCTGCCTGATTATATCAAACCGACAGCTGTGGAGGAGGAAGGGGAGCGAATAGCTAAGGATGTTTTCGATAGCGACAAGAACATGATTGAAAGCAGTGAAGATGACGATACTTCGAGCGATGAAGACAGCTCTCTGGAGGGTGTACGAGGCCGCAAGAAGAAGAAGGACTCCGACATCACATCTATATCGCCAAGCGACTTTGAGAAATCCAAGGGTGACGATTCCAAGCAGTCCGAAGAACGTACGTTGCCTTCTCGGGACTTCTGTTAAATGGGAAATCCAATATATCTGACTAATCTCACATTGTATAGAAAAAGCTTCCGAGATTCCAAGTGGACGACAGGAGAAGAAACCGCGAAAATCGGCTTTGAAAGCTGTGGTCCATCCACAGACTAGTTTCGACATCCCCACCCCGCGTGTTCAGTCAGTGGCTGGCACACCTTACGGCTCAGAGGATGAAGCCGAGATTGGTGACATCCATCGTGCCCAGAAGCTCAGCATTTCCATGTCAGCCATTGACAATGGTATTCACAATCGATCCATCCGAACAATTGTCCGCGGGAACTTTTCAAGTCCGCAGGATCAAGGCGATGGCGATGGGAGCCGTCGTCGCCGTCGGAAATATTTAATTGCAACAGACTTGAGTGAAGAGTCGGTCTATGCCCTCGAGTGGACTATCGGGACGGTTCTGAGAGACGGAGACACGATTTTCGCCATCTATGCCATGCACGAGGACTCCACTACTACGTCAGCGGTGCAGGTCGGTGAGGGAGCCAAAGTGATGAAAGATGCAACGGCCGTCGTTGGCACCCAGACGAAAGAAGCAAACCAGAATTATGCATCCCGTACGATCCTGGGTCGACTTGGCCCTGGTACTGCCAGCAAGACACATTCTGCTGATTCCAGGGCATCGTCAATCGCCGAGGCGGAGCGGGTGAGGGCAGTTGAAACTGTGTCTCAGACCTGTGTGAAGCTGCTGCGGAAAACGGTCTTACAGGTTCGTATTGCCGTGGAAGTGATCCACTGCAAGAACCCGAAGTCTATGATCACTGAAGCTGTAAGTGTTTCCTCTGCCCTCAACCTCCCTATTATCTCTGATCCATGCTTACAATGGCTCTCAGATTGATGAACTTGAGCCCACACTTGTTATTGTGGGTGCTCGAGGTCAGAGTGCACTGAAGGGGTGAGTGACACACCTGAATTTCTAGTTCGATATTGTGCTGCTGGAATACTAACCTTGCCTTTCTTTAGTGTCCTTCTCGGCTCGTTCTCCAATTATCTTCTTTCTAATTCTTCCGTGCCGGTAATGGTTGCACGCCGAAAGCTGAAGAGGCATACGTGGAAAGACAAGCTCAAGGGCACTGCAAATGTGCGTCTATCCAATAATCTGATTACCCCGAAGAGTCTTGCTCAAGCCAAAGTGGATTGATTCGGTGCACTTTATTTTTTTGTGTTACTCTATGTCTTGCATTTTCATGGATCGGATCATGAACGAGGCGCCTATCTTGCACTGCGTTCGAATGGTCTCATTGTCTTTATTTAACGCATATGGATACCCTGCTTTTCATGGGCTCAATATTTCACATTATGATGACGTCTCTCTTCTCTCCTGGTTTACTCCTCGTTCCTGATTCGGGTCTTTGGTATTAATATCGCTCGTCGTTGGAGTCTTGTTCTTAATTGCTTAGTATTGGTGTATAAGATGCATGACACCTTTAATAAAAGATGTTGGCCTCCATTGGACTTGGTATAATACAAAACATATATATATTCCTAAAATCAAAAATGAACATCCAAAGCCGTTAGTTAATACACCAAGAACTGTAGTATAACGTGCAATATAAAGCTCAGGGGAGCAGCTAAACGCCAAGACATGAAGACCCGGTCTACGCAATCTTGGACTTCATCACGTGCAACGTCACCGCCCAAGCTCCCCATCGAGACAGCTGGACCAACCCCCCAGTCCCACCTTTGCTCTCTTCCCCATCCTTGCCTTTTCTACTCTGAATTTCGCCTGTGGAGGATCAGATTCGCCATGGCTGATTTTATTGACCCCCGGATGTCATCCGTTAAGCCTCGGATGCGCTACAATACCATCGGAGGCATCAACGGACCGCTGGTTATCCTCGACAATGTGAGTTGATGATGTTCTGACAATATAACGAACTGCATACTAATGATAACCTCCCAAAATAGGTCAAGTTTCCCCGTTACAACGAGATCGTGTCCCTGACGCTCCCCGATGGCACGGAGCGCAGTGGCCAAGTGCTGGAAGCCAGAGGTCCGTTCCCCACATTCTGCCGTTCTAGGAGTATGAAAGCTGACTGCTATACACAAATAGGAAGCCGGGCTGTTGTGCAGGTGCGGACTAATACCTTGCCCCTAACATGCAAGACATTAACGTAGCTCGTTTGTCAACTAGGTGTTCGAAGGCACTTCCGGTATCGATGTGAAGAAGGTACAACTACCCGTGAAAATGATTTGAATGATGGATGTACTAACAGATCTATCAGACCAAAGTCGAGCTCAGCGGCCACAGCTTGAAGCTTGGCGTTTCCGAGGACATGTTGGGTCGAACATTCGACGGTTCGGGACGAGCTATCGACAAGGGTCCTAAGGTGTTGGCGGAGGAGTACTTGGATATCAACGGCCAGCCTATCAACCCCTACTCGCGAGTATGCGCACTGCCGCCGATATGAGATGAACTACGGGAAGCTAACGAACGGTTAAGGTGTACCCCGAGGAAATGATTTCGACCGGTATCTCCGCTATCGATACGATGAACTCTATTGCTCGTGGACAGAAGATCCCTATCTTCTCGGCTGCCGGTTTGCCTCACAACGAAATTGCCGCGTCTATATGCAGACAAGCGAGTCTGTCTAAGCCCACTAAGGATGTTCACGACGGCCACGAGGAGAACTTCTCTATTGTCTTCGCCGCTATGGGTGTTAATATGGAGACTGCCCGTTTCTTCAAGCGCGACTTTGAGGAGAACGGTAGTATGGAGCGTGTCACTCTGTTCCTGAACTTGGCCAACGACCCTACAATTGAGCGTATCATTACTCCTCGCCTTGCCCTAACCACCGCCGAATACTACGCCTACCAGCTCGAGAAGCACGTCCTGGTTATTATGACTGACATGTCAGCCTACTGTGATGCCCTGCGTGAGGTTTCCGCTGCTAGAGAAGAAGTCCCCGGTCGTCGTGGTTACCCCGGTTATATGTACACAGATTTGTCCACCCTCTACGAGCGTGCTGGACGAGTCGAGGGCCGCAATGGTTCTATTACACAGATTCCCATTCTGACCATGCCTAACGATGGTACGTTGCTCAAACCTCCAACCCCCGTCATCCTCTCTTTTCTTCAAAGTCTTCTCTCACTAGTTAACCTTGTGGCTGAATTTCTATTCTCCAACTTATGACGTCATACGTCATCGCGTTATACTACAAGCCACCCCTTAAGCTGAATACAGCTAATCCATACCCATTCACGCAGATATCACCCATCCGATCCCAGATTTGACGGGGTACATCACCGAGGGTCAGATCTTCATTGACCGTCAGCTCGACAACCGCGGTATCTACCCACCTATCAACGTCCTGCCCTCTCTTTCACGCCTGATGAAGTCCGCCATTGGCGAGGGCCGCACTCGCAAGGACCACTCAGATGTGTCTAACCAGCTGTATGCCAAGTACGCTATTGGTCGTGATGCCGGTAAGAAAGAAACCCGTCCCAAAGAACCCTCTATTACATCTCTAACCACCCCAACTAGCCGCCATGAAAGCCGTTGTCGGAGAAGAAGCCCTCTCCTCGGAAGACAAGCTCTCCCTTGAATTCCTCGATAAGTTCGAGCGCACCTTCATCTCCCAGTCTCCCTACGAATCGCGCACTATCCAAGAATCCCTCGACCTCGCCTGGAACCTCCTCCGCATCTACCCCAAGGAACTCCTTAACCGCATCCCCAAGCGCACTCTCGACGAATTCTACGCTCGCCATGCCCGCAAGATCCCTAACAAGGATACTCGCGATAACTCGCATGAGAACCTGGTCGACGCATGAGACGGTGCTGTGTGTTGAGATGGATCCTGAGTCTTGGGCTATGTTGAAGTAAACTATTACCAGGGTTTTATGTATGGTGCGAGGTGGAAGTGGAAGTGGAAGTGGAAAGCCAGAAAGAGCCCTGGCGAGGGGATTAGTAGGTCCCGTTTTTGTCGATGTCAATTGCATATACTCCTATCTTTTGTTCTTGTTGTGCGGCTGTTCGTATCTTCCTTGGTTGTTTTTCGTTTCGTCTCTTCTTGCATGATACATTATCGAATCTATTTCAGGGGGTATCTTTGCTCTCTATAAAACTATAAAGCTATGAAAGTATGGGATCATCGGTTCGTTCGTTGGGTTTGTGTGTGTGTAGTGGTCTTTTGAGGGTGGTAGATAAACTTAATAAACTTAAGTTCCAACCTTGGAAGGTTCATTGCACCCCCTGGCCCCACACGGGACACCCCCTTATGGAATGTTCTGCCGGTCTAAAACCCCCACGTACTATTGTAGCGTATTTCTATACTAAATGTTTTAGGAAGGTGGTAGTGACGGTGAGCTGGGTGGGGCCAAAGGGGGTGCAAGAACTTATGTCCAGTGACTGTAGACTGCTATTGTTATCAAGTCTAAAGCTATCTATGACTATGAAAACAGTCCAGCCCTGGAGAAAAATGAAGAAAAACAAGACCGAAAAGGGGATATCAATGTATTTTTTTGTATTCCTTTACTTTTATCCAAAAAGCATAAATCCCCAAAAGAATGAAAAAAGCCAGCTAGAAAAAAACGCTTTTCATGACCATCCCGCAATGTAGAGCATAAAAGCATCAAGGAATCATGAAACTCTCTGGCGAGACAGAGGACCGAAAAAAAAGAAATATGGAACAGTGAGGATGTTTCATCCACATGCAAAAAAGCACTTAGAAACAAAGGAAAGCGCTTAGAAGCGCAGATCCCATCCGATCTTGGGGCCCAATCGGGGAAGCTCGTCGGCGACCTGTTGCACATCCTTGTCACCGCGACCACTCAGGTTGAGAACGATGTCCTGGCCCTTCCCCATTGTCTTAGCGAGTTGCATCACACCCCAGACGGCGTGCGAGGACTCCAGGGCGGGGATGATACCCTCGTGTTGGGCGAGAGCACGGAAGCCAGCGAGAGCCTGGCTATCATCGGCGGAGATGAAAGTAGCGCGGTTGGAATCTTTCCAGTTGCTGAGTTCAGGGCCGACACCGGGGTAGTCAAGACCGGCGGAAATCGAGTGGGTCTCCGAGATTTGACCGTGCTCGTTCTGCAGGACGTAGGTACGCACGCCGTGCAGGACACCGTGGGAGCCGCCCGAGAGGGTGGCAGAGTGGCGGTTGGTATCAACGCCATCGCCGGCAGCCTCGACGCCGATGAGCTTGACGCTGGGGTCGTTGGAGAAGGGGTAGAACATGCCGACTGCGTTGGAACCACCGCCAACACAGGCAATGACAGCATCGGGGAGCTTGCCAATCTGGGCCTGCATCTGCTCCTTGGTCTCATTTCCGATCACAGACTGGAAGGTACGGACGATAGTGGGGAATGGGTGAGGACCAATAGCGGACCCGATGATGTAGTGAGTAGTGTCGAGCTCGACGACCCAGGCGCGGAGAGCCTCATTGACGGCATCGCGAAGGGTGCGGCTTCCAGCCTCGACAGCAATGACGGAAGCGCCAAGGAGCTTCATACGGAAGACGTTGAGACCCTGGCGACGCACATCCTCGGCACCCATGAAAACGGTACAAGCCATACCAAACTTGGCGCAAACTGTGGCGGTAGCAACACCGTGCTGACCAGCACCGGTCTCGGCAATGATGCGGGTCTTGCCCAGGCGACGGGCAATCAAAATCTGTCCAAGAGCATTGTTGATCTTGTGGCTACCGGTGTGGTTCAGATCCTCACGCTTCAACCAAATGTTGGCACCGCCAACGTGGTCAGTCAAACGCTGGGCCATGTGAAGGCTGCTGGGGCGGCCCATGTAAGGGTAGTACGAGCGGAATTCTTCCCAGAACTTGGGGTCGTTGTTGGCGACGTCAAAGCCACGCTCGAGCTCGCCCAAGCAATCCATAAGGGACTCGGGGACATACTGTCCGCCGAACTCGCCGAAGCGCGAGGGCTGAGAAGATGCGTCCTTTGTGACGTTGAGGGCCTCGATCTGGTCAGCAAGACCAGGTCCGGCGGGGGTATCGGCGTCGGTGATGACTTTGGTGGCCTGGACCTGAGTAGAAGGCTGGGCCTTCTCAATGGCCTCGAGTACATTGATCTCGCGAGTGAAAGCACCGGTAGCATCACGCTCACGCTTGCGTCCGGTAATGCTGGAGAGGTACTCCTCGGCAGCCTTGGCAGCCTGCCCAGCAGGGGCCTTGCCAACAACAGTGATAATCTGGCTGCCAATGACAACACCCTCAGCCTGCTCCTGGACGGACAGGAAGTGCTCACGGGTGCTGACACCGAATCCCAATGCAGCAGGGACGTTGCCGGAGTATTCGTGGACGCGGTGCAGGAGTTCGGGGATGTTTGCGCTCAATGAGCCGGTAGCACCGGTCACACCCATGCGGGAAACCACATAGATAAAGCTGTCTGCGATCTTGCAGAGGAGACGCATGCGAGCATCGGAGGTGGCAGGGGCGATGAGGGGAACGTATGAGAGACTGAAATGGGGTAAGCATGCTGGATAGGTGATAAAGATTTCAAAACAAGAAGTAAAATAGAGACAAACTCACCCAGCGCTAGAGCAGAGGTCACGGAAACGGACAGCCTCCTCCGGGGGCAAGTCAACCATGATGAAACCATTGACACCAGCCTCCTTGCAGTCACGGAGCATACGCTCCTCGCCATACTTGAGGACAGGGTTGAAGTAACCCATGAGCATCAGAGGGGTCCGCAGACCACGGCGGCGGGCAGTGCGGACAAGCTCGAGAACAGTAGTGAGGGTGACACCATTCTCAAGGGCCTTTGTGTTAGCGGTCTGAATGGTGGGGCCATCCGCGATGGGGTCTGTGAAGGGAATGCCAAGCTCGATGATATCTGTGATGTGAGACTGAATGTCAGTAAAGATCGTCCCTTAGAGCAACTTTCACTTGGGGTTGAATTACCGGCACCGCCGTTCTCGAGGCCAAGGAGGATATCAACAGCCTCCTCCAAGGTGGGGTATCCTGCGGTAATGTAGGCCACAAGGGCCGCGCGCTTCTGCGCTTTGCACTTCGCGAAGGTCTGCTTGATAGCTTCCATAATGAAAGACGATGTGCAAGTGGCGGGGCAAAGGAGTGTGGTGATAAGAAGAAAGGGAAGAGGCCAATGGAGGTCAAACAGTCCCTATATATATGCCCAGAGTTGGGATAAGTCACACGTGAATTGTAAAGTTAGGAATGGGATAAGATGATGTGTTATAAAGAAGCAAACGATCTGTATGAGTCAAATGCAATTGCCCTTTTTCGAGGCCGGTTTCGCCGGCCCCGCGCGTCACGTGCCATGATAAGATAGTGAGTCAGGTGACCTTATCGTGTCTACAGAGGTGGGATAAATGTAGGGTTAACTTTTCACGTGATATTTATACAAGAAGAGTCGGCCGTGTATGCGACCTTGGTATGTCTTTTAGTAGTCTTTTGAGATGTCTTCTTATGTTATTTTGTTACATATTTTCGCTTGTTGGTGTTGTAGCTAGGAGCACAAAAATAATTAGCTGCACAATATAGAAATATAGTGAGAAGGGTCTAAAATGCGAAAGCCAACCTTCAAGCCATTTCATCACTACATATTACAGGAGAGAAGGCTTATTAAGAAGGATTCAAGTGAAAATAATCTGATGATCTGCAATGCAACAACTATGACTCAGAATAGGTAAAATTAAGGCAGAAAATAAGGATAATAAACGGTCCAACCGTTCAAGTCCCAAACGCCGGAACAATGCAGCAGGTAGTAAGTGACAACAACCCTCAGCTGAAATAACAAGAAGTGGTAAGTCCCTAATGAACTCCGAACAAAAATTTCAAACAGAGAAGTGAAAAGTAAACAGGGACCAGAGGAGGAAGACCCGAGACCACGAAGAGGACCCCATAGTGTCAGATATCCTCACCCAAGAACCCTGTCCAAAATGCACAAAGGAATTGGATAAAATGGACGAAACCGCCAAGATTCCAAGAAAAAAAACCCCCAAGTCTATCCCATTCCCAATCCGAAAAGAACCCGCAAATGCAAAAGGAATGACAAGCAAGCGCCCGCTATGCTGAATGGTAGTACAAAAGCCCAGAATGTATGTTTTGTGCGCAAAAAGGGAGTGGAAGCCGCAATGCCCGGCATGTAAAATATGCAACCCAAGGAAGGAATGAACAAGACACCGTCTAGATGTGAGGAACAGGTCTCAGAGTGGAACAAAGTCCAAAAAGTCAAAAAAAGTCAAAAAGCAGATATGCAAAGGTCGCGAGTTTGGGTGTATGATGAGGGCATCAGGCATCATAATGTTGCAGTGTATAAGGAGGGACGTAAAATCATGATCAATGTGCGGGATGCGAGGACCAGCAGATACGAGGGCCCTTGCTACCTTTTCAGGTGGGAAGGGACCTGGTGTCCGATGGGCATGCAGCCCGCTGTCTGGGCTTGGTAAGGAGTGACAAGGAAAAGAAAATCGTATCTTCAAAAAGGCGGAGGGGAAGTATGAAAAATAGAATGGAAGGAAAACGCAGCAAGAAATCAATTAGAAGGACCAGCCAAGAGGGGGATCAGTGGCCGCCGTGGGCCGTGTCGTGCATCGAGTACACGGGATCCAAGTAGGTGTAGCATCCGCCATTTCCTGGTGCGCCGGTGTGAGGAGTGTTGGGGCCGAGAGGGTGCATGTCCCAAGACGGTCGCGGAGCCGGGGCTGCGAGACCGTGGGAACTCTGGGGATGGCACATGGCCGGATATGAGTATGCTCCGACAGATGTATAGGGCTGGGACACTGCGATCATGGATCGGAGGTCGGGGGCCGAAGACAAGTGGGAGGCGGAGTGGTCTGCCTGCGAGTAGCCCTGGACGGGCATACCAGTGTAGGTGTTGCCAGCGCCAGCGTCGGAGATGGACTGCGGGGAGTTGGCAGTGTGAGGCTCGGTACCGGAATCAGAACCAGTGCCATGGCTGGCATGGCTGGTGTAGGTGGTGGTCATTGGTGTGGGGAGAGCACCGGCGGTTGAGGAATAGCTGGCGGACTAGACAGAAGTCAAAAATATTAGTAACTTGTCACGATGAGCTGTGGGGTGTCAAAAACATACATATTTTCCAATGATTTTCTTCAGTGCGTGGCTCAGGACCTTCCAGGGGAAGACCTTGACATCCTTCTCGATGTTACGAGGCTTGGGAGCAGGGAAGCCCATGATGACCTTGAAGAACTCTTCGCTGTCGACCTTGGCCTTGGAGACGGTCAGGGGGCGGAATCCCTCCAAGTTGCGACGAATACGGTTCTTCTCTTCAACAGTGAAACGCACAGCCACAAGGGACTCGAGCAAATATATGGTATCCACGCTGGTTACGTAGCACTCATTCTTGTCCTCCCATAAAATGCAGCTGATGCAGATACTGCTCGGGGCGCGATCCTCAGGAGTAACAGCCTTGAACTCGCCCTGGATGGTGCTGCCGGTTTGGGAGCGAGTGAATTGCACCAGGCGGCGTTGGGTCGTGCGTTCTTCCTTCGACCAGCCTTGTGTCATAGTATCGAGATCACCGTTGAGCTTGAGAATAGCCTTGGTGGGATATATGGCGTAAGGGTTGAAGGCTGGGTTATGGGGCATGGTGTGCGTTTGGAGGGTGGAGGTGCGGATCAAAGTGGGATTTGAGGGACCACGCTGGGTGGGACCCTTGTGCTGAGAAACACCATGTGTCAAGGCGAGACCTGCGTTGCGACTATCGTTGCTCACAGAGATGAAAGACGGGCTCCAAGCTGGGGTTATAGGGGAAGGGACACGGAGGGCAGGTTGGGGGGTAGCAGACACAGAAGAGTATTGGCCAGAGCCAGTCTGGGGAGAGGATGCAGCATGATATGGTGCGACGAACCCGGCCATAGCGGGAAGGGGCTGCAAGTAAGGCGAGTAAGATGCAGATACAGAGCGGCTGTGGTAGCCCTCGTGGTGCTCAACCTTGGGGATCACGGATCCGTTGTGTCGCTTGGCAGATGCCACAGAAACATCAGAATACGAGGAGAACTTTCTCTTGCGGGAATCTGCTGATGGCGAAGGGTGGGCAACTTGCTCATAAGTGTACACACCAACCTGAAGAGAAGTGGCGGGGCAGTCATCCTGGGTCTCCATTGAGACAGAGAGAGGAACAGCAAAAGATGGGGATCCAGTAGACAAGAATGCAGGTACATCAGCGGAAAGACCGTACTGGAACGCGGAGCCCTGGAATCCAAGGAAATGCGGGAGTGATTCACACTTCTTGGAGCCAAAAACCACATACAAAGCTGCGTATGAAGAAGCGTGAAGGTCATAGGGGCACTGGATCTGGACCATCACCCTAGTTCCTTCACTTCCCCGCTGGGGACTGTATGTCACAATTTCGGGTAGCTGACGGTGGCGTGTGCCCAACATGGGCGACTGAGACTCTTCGTACGAGCTAGGGTACTCGTTGGGCAGATACGGAACGCAATCCGAGATTTGACTTGCCTGGTCGGCCATGGGCGAGGGAACCATCGGGGTCGTCACATAAGGCGATTGACCGTAATTCGAATAAGAAGCAGCATCATGCAAAGACCGAGTGGAACCATAATCTGTGTTTGGTCTCAGCATACGGGATGTTCCCAAATCATGGCAAACCAAGTTCTTCAAATGCAACGTACCTATTATGGCGCCGGCAACGGGCTTCTGGAAAGCAGACATGGACAAGATGGGCTCAGACTTGGCCCACAGGCCGTCTGAAAATGCACCGACAAACTGTGATTCTTCTGAGTCCGACAGATCCAACGACTCGCCGAGTATTAGAGGCGTTTGAAAATCTGGGTCGAACTGTGACGGAACAAGAAGAGGCAGGTCAGCGGGAAGGTTTCTTGCGTACACGGCGGGGGAAAAAAAGAGGCAATAGGGCAAGGGTTGAGAAGATTCAAACAGGATGCTGGGCTGGGATTGGAACACCTATGCAAAACATGCGGGCATCCACAAGGGAAGAGAGAGACAAGTCCAAAGCTGGGCTGGGAATTCTTACCAAAACACCGTGTGTCTTCGAATAAGCCAGCTTGAAGATGTTGCAGCGAGTGCAACGAGACAGAACCTGAAGCGAATGACTGGGAATTTATTCCAAACGATTGTAGGGTCGAAAAGCACGAGCAAGAATGGAGTGCTCTCCGAGACAGAACGAGAGACAAGATGAAGCTGCTGTTCGTCTCACAAAAATGGCGGCAACAAAAGGCCTCGAATCACCATCCAGGAATAAACCACTAAGGCTGAGACTAGGAACGGCTGGCTGCAGAAATAGACTCAAATCTCGACCGTAGTGCCTAAAGGTTCATAAAGAGAAGCAGAAGAACTAGTCGTAGCAGTGAGATGTTCAAGAAATGTCCACCGCCAGTTTGTGACGGGAAGAGCCGAGATTGGTTGGATGACGAGCAACGAGCGTGGACTGGAGAAGTTTCGCTTTTCTTTATTTCCTCCGCGAGGTGTTTCGGGAAAAAAGACTTGAAGCAGATTGGGCCACAATGAACAAGATCAAGATGATAGGCTACTCAATTAATGAGTATACGAGAACGTTTTCAGACTATGGGAACCGGATCGGTGCATAGGGGGGAAAGAGAATGAACTCACCGAGATGAATCAAAGTGAAATAAAAAAGAAGGTCTGATCTGAGACCAATTTTGCTGTTGTTCCAAGATAATATGCAAGATCCGAGGGTCGTTAAACCTGAAGAAGAGTCTAATGTCAACAACAAACACTTGACAATAGCGGGACGGGGAAGCTATCCGACGGCTTTGACAACCATCGTCATTTCCAGTCGTTGGTATAGTCCAGAGAATACAAATTCCGGCTGCAAGGAGATAACACAAAAGATCAAGAGCGGAAAGAGGAAGTATGCAAGGCACGAGGGGAACAAGTGAGACCGTGGGCAAAGGGAGGCACATTGATACTAACCTTAAGCTGATGAACCGATCTGCCTGAATAGTTCCTTTCTTGTATCCAATATTCCTTAATGACTCTGAGACCCTTCCAAACAGAGGCGATTCCGCTAGAGTTCTGGAGAAGTGTCTTCAGCCGAGACAATAGAGCGATTGGTTGAATTTCAGTTGTCCAATATCCAGTATCCTGTATCCAGTATCCAGTACCCAGTGCCCGGGGGGGATAGCCTGTCGCAAGTATAAAAGCCAGAGAATTCTTTTTTTTTTTTTTTCGAACGTTGGAGGTTCAACTGAGACCACGGAGCAAACGGAATCTATAGAGATATCGCGCAAACGCAGTGTCGGGCGAATAACACTTTATCGACCCTTAGATCCACCAAATCGGGTTCGAATATCAAAAAGAAACGGAAATTCCAGGGTTTCAGCAAGGCGAATTAAATATTAACGGCGTATAATTCCAATAAACGTAGCGAACGTGGTTCTCGTAGCAGCAGGTAAGCGAGCGTAAGAGCGAACGTGGTGAGCGAATGTGTGACTTAGAAAGTCATAAATTTCAAAGGGGGATGGAAAGTGGGATGCAAGGAAGATGGGACCAGAAGGGTTAAAAGCATTGAGGATTATATGGAATATTATTATTAGCAGTCAGAAGAGAGAGCAGGTCAGAGTACAATTTACGACCTAAACTGTATAGGGCCAGCTGTGGGGGGGGTTTTTTTGTTTTTTCCTTTCTCTGTATTATTTTATATTTTATATTTTATATTTTTTATGGGGATTGTAAGAATTCATAATTATTAATAATAAGTAAAATTCAATTAAATTGATCTCTCAATGTAGTCAGACTAATGGACTAGTGGGAAATCCTGGCGGGGGATGCACAGAGGGGGGAACTTGGCATCAATTGGAAGGGTATTGGGTATTATTACCTACGAAGTATAAGTAATGTACGGAGTACGGAGTACATAGATACCTACATATGTAGATACCTAGATAGGTATAGATAGGGTACTAATTTTTTCCCGTCACACCGTCAAGGGTTTTGTTTATAATTATTCTCGAGTCTCGAGTCTCGAAATATCGTAAAACACTAGGGCGGAGCAGGCATTTACAAACGAGTTGACCAGTGCCTCGGAAGCCACTAGAAGCGAACTTGTTATGCTTTCCGAGATCTCCGACCAGTCAGATCCACATATCTTTTCTTAGTATGATGTTAAAGAATCTTGGACGGATTATAACCTTCTATTTCAAGAACCGTGGAACTGATAACAAAAAAAATCGACTATATACGCGCATAATATTGGGGACGGAGGAATAGATGAACGTGGTGAGGTTCTCGGGATAAACACCAATCTGGCGGCCTGCGCCGCTAGCAAAAGAAAAAAAAAGTGGAGAATCTAGCATGTGGAAGAAGAAAATATTTTATGTCTGCAGAACAGGAATGACCTGATTGCCATATAGAATTCAGCCCGATGGTTACCTTTGTGCCCTGTTGTGTATGTGCTGGTCTTTTCTCTCGGGTGACTTTACAAGCATAGCCTCTTTCATTGTTTTTCCAAAAGGGGTGTAGAGTACTGTAACCCTGAACAAGATCCATGTCAACAAGGTCAATGTCTGTCCAATCAGGGATTGTGTCTATAACGAGAACTCTCTCCGAAAGGCTCCTCTCTTACTATGTCCTTGCCAATCAAAAAGCTTCACCGGCAACCCTGTTATGTTTTTTTTTTCTTCCTCCCTGGTATAATTAGCTCCCCTACATCAGCTTCGGGTACTTTTCCATTCCAACCCGGAAACCTATGTAATCCTTTTTGACCCAATGACACTTTTCCTTACAGTATGTAATACAATCTGAGGTTGACCCCTTTGTCAGCATCTCCTTACGCCGACCCTTGGGTCATCCGTGCCGAACCAAAGTGGAAAACGAGACCCTTTCCCTTTTCTCCAGATGCTCCACTTGCGATCTCCCCTACAGAATAGGGTCCGTCATTGATCGGTGTACGGAGTACATCTCGTGTCGTCATGCCGGTCAATATGATAATTCACATTTTTCTTTCCCCGACACGAGGCTGCACCATGTACATCTACGGAGTAATGATGTGTACTCCCACGACATAGACTCTCAGTACCACAGAAAGTAAATCCCCAGACATTCCCCGATCGAGCAAGGCCAAAACCTTTTCCGAGATGCATTTGGGGGTAAATCTTGGAAACTGTTAAGCTTACCGTCATCTGACCTGAATGTAAATAGAAAGAAAATAAATAAATATACGAAGTACCAACCTTGGAAATCTAAGCTCAGTTTTTCAGAACTAAAAAAGAAAACTAAAAAAACCAAACACGAAGGGTCTAAGTTTAGCACACCTTGCATTTTCAGGTGACTCGGTGGCCTGACTATGTAAGGGTCCCGCCCTGTGATTGGTTCTCCTACCCCCCTCTAGACCCGATCGGGTATCACTCATGAACCCGAGCATCCGTGCTCCCAAGTAACGGAACCGTTCCATCAGCTGGCCACTTGGGCCCTCTGCACTGTGACCTTATAACTTTCCGTATATATTTAGAATATCTTCATATTCATATTCACTGTCTATCAGCATATTGAATATGACTATGTAGAAGACGCGTAATTATATCCATTAGAGCACATATGTACATGTACTACATGTATGCAATTCCCATTCCAACGGCTCCCGGGCCACGAGCTCTCCAGGGCCCTGTTGATCGTGCAAATCCCCAATGCGCAGGAGATCATTATTGTTCTACAGGATAATTACCCGACGCAGCGCGTCAAGGTCTGCAGTTCCGTAAGAACGTCAACCATGTTATTGTTACAGACGCAGATGCAAATGCAGGCGCAGACGCAGATGTTGAAAATAGAATCCAAAAAATGTCCATAAGAGTTTCTTGGTTCTTCAATTCTTGAATTCTCCCACGGTTAGCCTCTATGAGATCATAGAGAGGGTTCGAGATATTCGGAAGGAAGCATTCTTGGAAAGAAGTTTATTTCTCAATGTAGATGTTGTTGACTCCTACTTCGTACATAAGAAAATTAAAACAAAAATAAAATAAACACGCTAAACCCAACTAGAGGCGTTAACGGTTCGGATGCACAGCTCCGATTAGTATTTCGTGCAGCTCCAGCCACCCACGATGTAGGAAAGGGAGAAAAAGGGGGGGAAATAAAAAGTATTTGTTATTATCAAAGCGCGTTCCGAACTGTTATCGATAAGGTATGCACTCGGCTCCGCGATTTTGCCACGTTGAAGACGTCCCGAGGTTCGATGTACAGGTGTGGACACTATGAGATTTTATGATATATTTATGAACCGAACAACGAAAATAGTCAAGCCGACACTCAAAATTCGGTAATGGGGCTCATTTGAACCATACAAATACAGCGACAGTGGAGCGCGCAATGATCAGCAATCTGCCCAAGAAGCTTCAATCGGATCAGCGATCGCGTCCAAAACGGTCCAAAACGGCTTCTTCAGACATCTTCGGTTAATATAGATAATTGTTCGATACCTTCCTTCTTTCCTTGCTACTCGTTGCTAGTTGGTTAATAATGTTCCCTACATGCATGTCAATCTAAATGTGTCAATGTCAAATGTTCATGTTCCTCAACTCCCAACCACCCACCCAACCACCCCGAATATCAAACAGAGCAAGGAGCACTCTATCCAAGGGACCAATCTATATCAAATCCCATTTATCCCTTTGGAAATTCTAAAAACCAATGGATAATCTTATTAGTTTGTAACGGGAACATTTCCCCAATTGGCGTTTGCACTTTAATCGGCCAATCCTCGGAACCAATATCAGTCCCCACATCGAGACCCAACCCCCCCGAACCCCCGAAAAGGATAAAATGCGAAGAAAAGTCCATAAAAAAACGGCGTATTTCCCCGTTGATCAACCCCACATCCTAACTAGTGTTTCAAGCAGCAAATAATCATCAAATCCTCCAAGGGATCTTCCACATCCTTCGAAGCTTCCAAAGAAAAAAGCGGATCACTATATCCTCAGGGCTTCGGACTTGCAACCTTGTTTGAAGCCGTTGATACTGTACTCGACGCCCCTATTGGCCAGTAAGGGTCCCATCTATATCCATTATGATATTATTGAGCCGGGTTAGCATCCACTAGGGCTTCGGGCTCTCCGGTTGCTGCATTTTATCTTTTATTGTTTATTATTCTGCCTATTGGCAAAAACCCCGCGCCTATCAAAGGTTAATTAAATGATTATTAGATTATTTCGCGCGTGACGACATGCTATCTATGCTTTGGATCGACGTTCAACCTTAGTCCCTTGTCTTATACTATG